TGTTTCCGCAGTTGCGATCTATGTGCTGTATCTATGTTTATTTACATATATTTCATTTCTGTATTTAGCTGCATTACAAACCGACGTGCCGGTATGTCAGTACTCTTTTTGTCGGGGGTGTGAGGACAGCTGGCCCCCCAGGTGACAGCCCAGCACAGCAGGGACCTTATCTGACCTGATGTGCCTTGTCTGTTTTCTGGCCAAAAGAGGGCACCATGGTGTCATTCCGTTTACTGCGGGGTGATAATCAATCAAGTGTTAAGTAACGGACGGGGGGTGGTGTTGGGTCTGTGGGTGCCTGCTGCGTCCTGAGGGCGCGGCTGACCCAAGGGTGTGCTCACATAACTACCATCGGCGTTTTCTTAGCGTGATAATGCGTAAATTAAATCATGCTCATGCGATAGCTCATTTCAAAGCTGCTTTGCCTCTGAAACCAGACGCTCTTCTTATTAACATGTGTGAATGTGTCTTTTTGTTGAACAGCTAGCATTATACATATAAAACGTATCAAAGACCCCCCGTCCACCTTTTGTTAGAGCCCTCGTTAGCTTGCGTGCTCACAGAGGCTAATCCGCGCTAATGTAGCAGCCTGAAATTCAGCTTCATCCTTTTAGAATTCATCAAGGTTTTCGCCTAAGTTGCTCTGTAATTACAGAATCTGCGTTCCGAATATGAGGATAGGGTTGTTCTTCGCCTTCCTGCCTAGCAAGCTTGTTTACGGGAGCAGAAACGGGCAGGGGGAGAGGCCTCGAGGGGTGACGGGCTTCGAGCTGCACAGGCTCTGTGCTGGACCCTCCTGGCTGGGATATTAGGGATGGATGAGGAGGCCAGCAGATGAAAAGCCTTCGCCTTCTGCATCAAAGGCCTCTCTGCACTGTTCCGGAAGGAGGCCTGATACGATTCTGGGTCACTGAGATTGACTGGGTGAAGCCCGGCTCTGTCTGGTGTGCGCAGCTAACCAGGGTGTTCCCAGTTCACACGCTGACCTTTCTTCTTGACTGATGTTTACCTGAGCAGAGATCAGCCTGTTGGGCCGTTTCGCACTTTTCAAGGTGGACGTGTGGCTTTCACCGGCCGACAGGCCCGAATGCGAGAGCGATATACACCCACTCAGGAACGGAATCTCGGTGATGTGGAAGGACCGTTTCACCTTCTAGCCTGTGCTTGGCCATCTTCTTACGCTTTTTGTAGTGTGGTGGATTTTGCATGATGAAATGATCGTTTGTGAAAATAAATTGTAGTTTGTTCACAATACACATCAGCTGTTGGTAAGACTGATGAGTTTGGTAAAACGGCCAGTGTTTCTCTCCGAGCGGATTCAGGCGGACCGGCTCTCGCCACGGCACTTCGCGGCTCTGTGACGGCTTCCTGCCGTTCTTCACCCTTCCCGTTTCCACCGGGGTTTTAAAGCCAGAATCCCGCCCCCTGTGACATTCAAGAGCAGGTCCGTGTTTGCACATGGGGGGGG